CACAGAGACCCACAGACTCACCACACAGAGACCCACAGACTCACCACACAGAGACCCACAGACTCACCACACAGAGACCCACAGACTCACCACACAGAGACCCACAGACTCACCACACAGAGACCCACAGACTCACCACACAGAGACCCACAGACTCACCACACAGAGACCCACAGACTCACCACACAGAGACCCACAGACTCACCACACAGAGACCCACAGACTCACCACACAGAGACCCACAGACTCACCACACAGAGACCCACAGACTCACCACACAGAGACCCACAGACTCACCACACAGAGACCCACAGACTCACCACACAGAGACCCACAGACTCACCACACAGAGACCCACAGACTCACCACACAGAGACCCACAGACTCACCACACAGAGACCCACAGACTCACCACACAGAGACCCACAGACTCACCACACAGAGACCCACAGACTCACCACACAGAGACCCACAGACTCACCACACAGAGACCCACAGACTCACCACACAGAGACCCACAGACTCACCACACAGAGACCCACAGACTCACCACACAGAGACCCACAGACTCACCACACAGAGACCCACAGACTCACCACACAGAGACCCACAGACTCACCACACAGAGACCCACAGACTCACCACACAGAGACCCACAGACTCACCACACAGAGACCCACAGACTCACCACACAGAGACCCACAGACTCACCACACAGAGACCCACAGACTCACCACACAGAGACCCACAGACTCACCACACAGAGACCCACAGACTCACCACACAGAGACCCACAGACTCACCACACAGAGACCCACAGACTCACCACACAGAGACCCACAGACTCACCACACAGAGACCCACAGACTCACCACACAGAGACCCACAGACTCACCACACAGAGACCCACAGACTCACCACACAGAGACCCACAGACTCACCACACAGAGACCCACAGACTCACCACACAGAGACCCACAGACTCACCACACAGAGACCCACAGACTCACCACACAGAGACCCACAGACTCACCACACAGAGACCCACAGACTCACCACACAGAGACCCACAGACTCACCACACAGAGACCCACAGACTCACCACACAGAGACCCACAGACTCACCACACAGAGACCCACAGACTCACCACACAGAGACCCACAGACTCACCACACAGAGACCCACAGACTCACCACACAGAGACCCACAGACTCACCACACAGAGACCCACAGACTCACCACACAGAGACCCACAGACTCACCACACAGAGACCCACAGACTCACCACACAGAGACCCACAGACTCACCACACAGAGACCCACAGACTCACCACACAGAGACCCACAGACTCACCACACAGAGACCCACAGACTCACCACACAGAGACCCACAGACTCACCACACAGAGACCCACAGACTCACCACACAGAGACCCACAGACTCACCACACAGAGACCCACAGACTCACCACACAGAGACCCACAGACTCACCACACAGAGACCCACAGACTCACCACACAGAGACCCACAGACTCACCACACAGAGACCCACAGACTCACCACACAGAGACCCACAGACTCACCACACAGAGACCCACAGACTCACCACACAGAGACCCACAGACTCACCACACAGAGACCCACAGACTCACCACACAGAGACCCACAGACTCACCACACAGAGACCCACAGACTCACCACACAGAGACCCACAGACTCACCACACAGAGACCCACAGACTCACCACACAGAGACCCACAGACTCACCACACAGAGACCCACAGACTCACCACACAGAGACCCACAGACTCACCACACAGAGACCCACAGACTCACCACACAGAGACCCACAGACTCACCACACAGAGACCCACAGACTCACCACACAGAGACCCACAGACTCACCACACAGAGACCCACAGACTCACCACACAGAGACCCACAGACTCACCACACAGAGACCCACAGACTCACCACACAGAGACCCACAGACTCACCACACAGAGACCCACAGACTCACCACACAGAGACCCACAGACTCACCACACAGAGACCCACAGACTCACCACACAGAGACCCACAGACTCACCACACAGAGACCCACAGACTCACCACACAGAGACCCACAGACTCACCACACAGAGACCCACAGACTCACCACACAGAGACCCACAGACTCACCACACAGAGACCCACAGACTCACCACACAGAGACCCACAGACTCACCACACAGAGACCCACAGACTCACCACACAGAGACCCACAGACTCACCACACAGAGACCCACAGACTCACCACACAGAGACCCACAGACTCACCACACAGAGACCCACAGACTCACCACACAGAGACCCACAGACTCACCACACAGAGACCCACAGACTCACCACACAGAGACCCACAGACTCACCACACAGAGACCCACAGACTCACCACACAGAGACCCACAGACTCACCACACAGAGACCCACAGACTCACCACACAGAGACCCACAGACTCACCACACAGAGACCCACAGACTCACCACACAGAGACCCACAGACTCACCACACAGAGACCCACAGACTCACCACACAGAGACCCACAGACTCACCACACAGAGACCCACAGACTCACCACACAGAGACCCACAGACTCACCACACAGAGACCCACAGACTCACCACACAGAGACCCACAGACTCACCACACAGAGACCCACAGACTCACCACACAGAGACCCACAGACTCACCACACAGAGACCCACAGACTCACCACACAGAGACCCACAGACTCACCACACAGAGACCCACAGACTCACCACACAGAGACCCACAGACTCACCACACAGAGACCCACAGACTCACCACACAGAGACCCACAGACTCACCACACAGAGACCCACAGACTCACCACACAGAGACCCACAGACTCACCACACAGAGACCCACAGACTCACCACACAGAGACCCACAGACTCACCACACAGAGACCCACAGACTCACCACACAGAGACCCACAGACTCACCACACAGAGACCCACAGACTCACCACACAGAGACCCACAGACTCACCACACAGAGACCCACAGACTCACCACACAGAGACCCACAGACTCACCACACAGAGACCCACAGACTCACCACACAGAGACCCACAGACTCACCACACAGAGACCCACAGACTCACCACACAGAGACCCACAGACTCACCACACAGAGACCCACAGACTCACCACACAGAGACCCACAGACTCACCACACAGAGACCCACAGACTCACCACACAGAGACCCACAGACTCACCACACAGAGACCCACAGACTCACCACACAGAGACCCACAGACTCACCACACAGAGACCCACAGACTCACCACACAGAGACCCACAGACTCACCACACAGAGACCCACAGACTCACCACACAGAGACCCACAGACTCACCACACAGAGACCCACAGACTCACCACACAGAGACCCACAGACTCACCACACAGAGACCCACAGACTCACCACACAGAGACCCACAGACTCACCACACAGAGACCCACAGACTCACCACACAGAGACCCACAGACTCACCACACAGAGACCCACAGACTCACCACACAGAGACCCACAGACTCACCACACAGAGACCCACAGACTCACCACACAGAGACCCACAGACTCACCACACAGAGACCCACAGACTCACCACACAGAGACCCACAGACTCACCACACAGAGACCCACAGACTCACCACACAGAGACCCACAGACTCACCACACAGAGACCCACAGACTCACCACACAGAGACCCACAGACTCACCACACAGAGACCCACAGACTCACCACACAGAGACCCACAGACTCACCACACAGAGACCCACAGACTCACCACACAGAGACCCACAGACTCACCACACAGAGACCCACAGACTCACCACACAGAGACCCACAGACTCACCACACAGAGACCCACAGACTCACCACACAGAGACCCACAGACTCACCACACAGAGACCCACAGACTCACCACACAGAGACCCACAGACTCACCACACAGAGACCCACAGACTCACCACACAGAGACCCACAGACTCACCACACAGAGACCCACAGACTCACCACACAGAGACCCACAGACTCACCACACAGAGACCCACAGACTCACCACACAGAGACCCACAGACTCACCACACAGAGACCCACAGACTCACCACACAGAGACCCACTAGACTCACCACACAGAGACCCACAGACTCACCACACAGAGACCCACAGACTCACCACACAGAGACCCACAGACTCACCACACAGAGACCCACAGACTCACCACACAGAGACCCACAGACTCACCACACAGAGACCCACAGACTCACCACACAGAGACCCACAGACTCACCACACAGAGACCCACAGACTCACCACACAGAGACCCACAGACTCACCACACAGAGACCCACAGACTCACCACACAGAGACCCCACAGACTCACCACACAGAGACCCACAGACTCACCACACAGAGACCCACAGACTCACCACACAGAGACCCACAGACTCACCACACAGAGACCCACAGACTCACCACACAGAGACCCACAGACTCACCACACAGAGACCCACAGACTCACCACACAGAGACCCACAGACTCACCACACAGAGACCCACAGACTCACCACACAGAGACCCACAGACTCACCACACAGAGACCCACTAGACTCACCACACAGAGACCCACAGACTCACCACACAGAGACCCACAGACTCACCACACAGAGACCCACAGACTCACCACACAGAGACCCACAGACTCACCACACAGAGACCCACAGACTCACCACACAGAGACCCACAGACTCACCACACAGAGACGTAAAAAAATGTTTGTCTAAACAAATAACAACACAAATAATTAAAGTGTTAAAACGATAATCAATTACTAATTAAGTGTAATAATATTAATTTAAACTACGCTCAAAGGCGCGTGTATATTTTAAGTGATTTATATATTTAGGACCGTAAGAACTCACCCTTTATTATGAGTCACACCATGGTTCAAGATGTAAAGTTAAAAACTTTGTATTTGTTAATCTTTAAAGTCTTCGGCTGTCGCCCGTTTGCCTGAGGTAAAAAAATAATTTACTCGAAAAGCTTCCTACTGATTTGTATCGATTAAAGCGGCTTCGATTCATTGCCGGAAGCGATTCCCCTCCACCCGTCGTCGTCGTCACCCCCCGCAACGCGTTCGAGAGATCGATTCCCCAGGTTCGGATCGCGGGGAATAAAAGGAATCGATTTGTGGGTTGGGGATGTTGAGAGTCGCCTCGCTTGTGATGACGTCACGCGAATTTTGACCCCGCCCCCTCGTCACGTGGCGTCACAAAAAGTCAGACCCCCCCTCTCAACTATGACGTCACAACCCCCCCTCAACTATGACGTCACAAAGCCCCCCTCTCAACTATGACGTCACAAACCCCCCCTCCCAAAAAATATAAAACATTTTGATTTAAAGCTTTCGTGACTGCAGTAATTCATATTCTTAGTTCTTTCGGTAAAGTCACGTTGAAGGGAAACAATAAAATAATAAAAAATATATAAAACTAATATATAAAACAATAATATATATTTTATTGTTTCCCTTCAACGTGACTTTACCGAAAGAACTAAGATTATGAATATAAAACATGCTTCAAATCGAATTTTGATTTAAAGATTTAGTTACTGCAGGGATCCATACTCTTGACTCTTTCTGTAAAGTCACAACCACGTAGATAGGGAAACAATAAAATAATACAAATATAAAACAATAAAATTATTGTAAAACAATAAAATTATTATTCTTGGTTCTTCCGGTAAAGTCACCACCACGTAGATAGGGAAACAATAAAATAATAAAAATATAAAACAATTAAATTATTGTAAAACAATACAATTATTATTCTTGGTTCTTTCGGTAAAGTCACCACCACGTAGATAGGGGAAACAATAAAATAATACAAATATAAAACAATAAAATTATTGTAAAAACAATAAAATTATTATTCTTGGTTCTTTTGGTAAAGTCACCACCACGTTGAAGAGAAACAATAAAATAATAAAAATACAAAACAAAAAAAATCTCACGACGTTTAGACTGCAACACAAAGCAGCAATCATCATCAGGTGTGAAAACCACAGCAAGAACAATCTGAAAATTAAAAAAAAATCTGCTGTGGTTTTCACACCTGATGATGATTGCTGCTTTGTGTTGCAGTCGAAACGTCGTGAGAATTTTATTGTTTTGTATTTTTATTATTTTATTGTTTCCCTTCAACGTGGTGGTGACTTTACCAAAAGAACCAAGAATAATAATTTTATTGTTTTACAATAATTTTATTGTTTTATATTTTTATTATTTTATTGTTTCCCTTCTGCGTGGTGAATATACATTATATACATTAATATTGAGAGCTGGGATTGCGCAACATCACTTTCGAGGGAATCGAAATCGACTTTGAAGCCGGTGGTGGAACTTGCAATGAGGCACTACGGGTGGTCGTGAGGTAGTAGAACCCGCGCGTGTGAAATAAAAAAACGCGATTTTTTAATGCGTTGAGTAACTATGGGGGGGGTGGGGGGTCAACTACGGCTGGTCGCGAGGCATAAACCCGCGCGTGTGAAATAAAAAACGCGATTTTTTAATGCGTTGCGGAACCACCTACCCACTCACTCACCCACCTATCCACTCACCCACCTACTCACCCACCCACTCACCCACCTACCCACTCACTCACCCACCCACTCACCCACCTACCCACTCACTCACCCACCTACTCACCCACCCACTCACCCACCTACCCACTCACTCACCCACCTACCCACTCACCCACCTACTCACCCACCCACTCACCCACCTACCCACTCACTCACCCACCCACTCACCCACCTACCCACTCACCCACCTACCCACTCACTCACCCACCTACCCACTCACCCGCTCACTCACCTACCTACCCACTCACCCACCCACCCACCTACCCACTCACCCACCTACCCACTCACTTACCTACCTACCCACTCACTCACCCACCCACTCACTCACCTACCCACTCACTCACCCACCTACTCACCCACTCAATCACCCACCTACCCACTCACTCACCTACCTACCCACTCACCCACTCACCTACCTACCCACTCACCCACCCACTCACCCACTCACCCACCCACTCACCCACCTACTCACTCATCCACCTACCCACTCACCCACCTACCCACTCACTCACCCACCTACCCACTCACCCACCTACCCACTCACCCACCTACCCACTCACTCACCCACCTACCCATTCACTCACATACCCACTCACCCACCTACCCACTCACTCACCCACCTACCCACTCACCCACTCATCCACCTACCCACTCACTCACCCACCTACTCACCCACCCACCCACTAACCCATCCGATCACTCATCCACATATCCACTCACTCACCCATCCCCTCACTCATCCACCCCCTCACTCACCCAATTTTCCACCTACTCACTCGCCCACTCACTAACCCACCCACTCACTCACCCACTCACCTACCTACCCACTAACCCATCCGATCACTTACCCACCCCCTCACTCACCCACCCAATTTTCCACCTACTATTCACCTGCCCACTCACTAACCCACCCACTGACTCACCCACCCACTCACCCACCCACTCACTCACCCACTCACTCACCCACCCACTCACCCACCCACTCACTCACCCACCCATTCACCCACCTACCTACTAACCCATCCGATCACTCACCCACATATCCACTCACTCATCCACCCCCTCACTCACCCACCTACCACCCACCCAATTTCCCACCTACTACTCACTCGCCCACTCACTAACCCACCCACTGACTCACCCACCCACTCACCCATCCACCCACTCACTCACCCACTCACCCACCTACCTATCCACTCACCTACCCACTAACCCATCCGATCACTCACCCACATATCCACTCACTCACCCACCCCCTCACTCACCCACCCAATTTTCCACCTACTACTCACTCGCCCACTCACCCACCCACCCACTCACCACCGCACCAACGAGGCGCACAACGCCGTGTAAACATTCCTCCAGTTGAATTTTATTGACCGCAACTTTGACCGAAGCGCTAAGACGATGACGTTGCCACACATCCAACAACCATCGACATCGTCACCATCACTAGTGACGTCACTTTCACCGTCATGCATCGTGACATCAATTCCATCATTCCTGGTTACGTCACTTCCACCGTCACGACTAGTGACGTCACACTCATCATTCATCGTGACGTCACTTCCACCATCACGCATAGTGACGTCACACCCATCATTCATCGTGACGTCACTTCCACCATCACGCCAAGTGACATTATTGCCACCATGAAGGCAACGATGAAGGTGATGGTGTCAATGATGGCGATGACGTAGGTGATGGTGATGACGTAGGTGATGATGTAGGTGGTGATGACGTAGGTGATGGTGATGACGTAGGTTATGGTGATGACGTAGGTTATGGTGATGACGTAGGTTATGGTGATGACGTAGGTGATGGTGATGACGTAGGTGATGGTGTCAATGATGGTGATGTGTCAATGATGGTGATGTGTCAATGATGGTGATGACGTAGGTGATGATTACGTAGGTGATGGCGATGACGTAGGTGATGGTGACGTAGGTGATGATGTAGGTGATGGTGACGTAGGTGATGGTGATGACTTAGGTGGTGATGTACGTGATGGTGATGACGTAGGTGATGGTGTCAATGATGGTGATGACGTAGGTGATGATTACGTAGGTGATGGCGATGACGTAGGTGATGATTACGTAGGTGATGGCGATGACGTAGGTGATGGCGATGACGTAGGTGATGGCGATGACGTAGGTGATGGCGATGACGTAGGTGATGGTGATGACGTAGGTGGTGACGTAGGTGATGGCGATGACGTAGGTGATGGCGATGACGTAGGTGATGGCGATGACGTAGGTGATGGTGATGACGTAGATGATGATGATGGTGGAGGTTGATGGTAAGGAGGTGAGTAGGGTGATCAGGTGAGTAGGGTGGTGAGGAGATGGGTATGTGGTGGTGAGTGTGGTGGTGGTGGTGGTGAGGGTGGTGGTGAGTGTGGTAGTGGTGAGTGGTGAGGGTGGTGAGTGTGGTGGTGGTGTGGTAGTGAGTGGTGGTGAGTGGTGGTGAGTGTGGTGGTGGCGAGGGTGGTGGTGAGGGTGGTGGTGGTGAGTGTGGTGGTGAGTGGTGAGGGTGGTGAGGGTGGTGAGTGTGGTGGTGGTGGTGAGTGGTGAGGGTGGTGAGGGTGGTGAGTGTGGTGGTGAGGGTGGTGAGTGTGGTGGTGAGTGGTGAGTGTGGTGGTGAGTGGTGAGGAGTGGTGGTGAGTGGTGGTGAGTGGTGGTGAGGAGGAGGTTTTAGTTTTCCTGACGCTTCTTGAGCGCTGCTGCCAGGTCACTGCGCAGGGCATGGTGGTGAGGAGTGGTGGTGAGGAGTGGTGGTAAGTAGTGGTGAGGAGTGGTGAGTAGTGGTGAGTAGTGAGTGGTGGTGAGGAGGAGGAGGTTTTAGTTTTCCTGACGCTTCTTGAGCGCTGCTGCCAGGTCACTGCGCAGGGCGTCCTGACGACATTTGTCAGAGGCAGACTGCAGGCTCCTGGGGGGGAGAGGGGGAGAGAGGGGGGAGTGGGGGAGAGAGAGTAGAGAGTAGAGAGAGCATAGAGAGGGGTAGAGGGTAGAGAGAGAGTAGAGGGTAGAGGGGTAGAGAGAGAGTGTAGAGAGTAGAGAGAGGGTAGAGGTAGAGGGTAGAGAGAGTAGAGAGAGGGGAGGGGGTAGAGGGTAGAGAGAGGGTAGAGAGAGTGTAGAGAGAGGGTAGAGAGTAGAGAGAGTAGAGAGAGAGTGGGGGTAGAGGGTAGAGAGGGAGAGAGTAGAGGGTAGAGGGGTAGAGAGAGAGAGTGTAGAGAGTAGAGAGAGAGTAGAGAGAGTAGAGAGTGTAGAGAGAGTAGAGAGTGTAGAGAGAGTAGAGGGTAGAGAGAGTAGAGAGTAAAGAGAGTGGGGAGGGGGTAGAGGGTAGAGAGAGAGTAGAGAGAGGGTAGAGAGAGTAGAGAGAGTGGGGAGGGGGTAGAGGGTAGAGAGAGAGTAGAGAGAGGGTAGAGAGGGAGAGAGAGTGTAGAGGGTAGAGGGGTAGAGAGAGAGTGTAGAGAGTAGAGAGAGGGTAGAGGTAGAGGGTAGAGAGAGAAGAGAGAGGGGAGGGGGTAGAGGGTAGAGAGAGAGAGAGGGTAGAGAGAGGGTAGAGAGGGAGAGAGTAGAGGGTAGAGGGGTAGAGAGAGAGTGTAGAGAGTAGAGAAATGATGGTAGAGAGTAGAGAGTGTAGAGAGTAGAGAGTGTAGAGAGTGAAGAGAGAGTAGAGAGAGGGTAGAGAGAGGGTAGAGGTAGAGGGTAGAGAGAGAGAGTGGGGAGGGGGTAGAGGGTAGAGAGAGTAGAGAGAGAGTGGGGGTAGAGGGTAGAGAGAGGGTAGAGAGGGAGAGAGAGTAGAGGGTAGAGGGGTAGAGAGAGAGTGTAGAGAGTAGAGAGAGTGTAGAGAGTAGAGAGAGTGTAGAGAGAGAGAGTGGGGAGAGAGAGTAGAGGGTAGAGAGAGAGTAGAGAGAGTGTAGAGAGTAGAGAGAGTGTAGAGAGAGAGAGTGGGGAGAGAGAGTAGAGGGTAGAGAGAGAGTAGAGAGAGTGTAGAGAGTAGAGAGAGTGTAGAGAGAGAGAGTGGGGAGAGAGAGTAGAGGGTAGAGAGAGAGTAGAGAGAGTGTAGAGAGTAGAGAGAGTGTAGAGAGAGAGAGTGGGGAGAGAGAGTAGAGGGTAGAGAGAGAGTAGAGAGAGTGTAGAGAGAGAGAGAGAGAGTGTAGAGAGAGAGAGTGGGGAGAGAGAGTAGAGGGTAGAGAGAGAGTAGAGAGAGTGTAGAGAGAGAGAGTGGGGAGAGAGAGTAGAGGGTAGAGAGAGAGTAGAGAGAGTGTAGAGAGGGAGAGAGAGAGTAGAGGGTAGAGGGGTATAGAGAGAGTGTAGAGAGTAGAGAGATGATGGTAGAGTGTAGAGAGAGTAGAGAGTGGAGAGAGTAGAGAGAGGGAGTGAGAGGGTTACTGTGTACTGTACCACGCTGTGCAAGGCAACGCGATTTGATAGCTATGCAATGCCATGCGATGAAATGTAATCCGACGCATCGCAATGCAATGCGATGCTCTGCAATGCATTATACTGCCATGTGATGCTATGTGACCAACGCGTTGCAATGTAATGCAATGTAATGCAATGTAATGCAATTACACTGTAATGTAATGCAATGTAATGCAACGTACTACAATGTACTGCAATGTAATGCAATTACACTGTAATGTAATGCACTGCTATGTAATGCAATGCAATGGAATGTACTGCAATGTAATGCAATGTACTACAATGCACTACAACGTAATGCAACGTACTGCAATGTAATGCAATGCAATGTACTACAATGTACTACAACGTACTACAATGTAATGCAATGTAATGTAACGTAATGCAACATAATGCAATGTAATGCAACGTACTACAATGTACTACAATGTAATGCAACGTACTACAATGTACTACAATGTAATGCAACGTACTACAATGTACTACAATGTAATGCAACGTACTACAATGTACTACAATGTAATGCAACGTACTACAATGTACTACCATGTACTACAATGTAATATAATGCAATGCAATGCAATGTAATGCTACGTAATGCAATGTACTACAATGTAATGCAACGTACTACAATGTACTACAATGTAATGCAATGTAATGCGATGCACTGCAATGCACTGCAATGTAATGCAACGTACTACAATGTACTACAATGTAATGCAATGTAATGCGATGCACTGCAATGCACTGCAATGTAATGCAACGTACTACAATGTACTACAATGTAATGCAATGTAATGCAATGTAATGCGATGCACTGCAATGCACTGCAATGTAATGCAACGTACTACAATGCACTACAATGTAATGCAATGTAATGCGATGTAATGCAACGTACTACAATGTACTACAATGTAATGCGATGCACTGCAATGCACTGCAATGTAATGCAACGTACTACAATGTACTACAATGTAATGCAATGTAATGCAATGTAATGCGATGCACTGCAATGCACTGCAATGTAATGCAATGTAATGCAATGTAATGCGATGCACTGCAATGCACTGCAATGTAATGCAACGTACTACAATGCACTACAATGTAATGCAATGTAATGCGATGTAATGCAACGTACTACAATGTACTACAATGTAATGCGATGCACTGCAATGCACTGCAATGTAATGCAACGTACTACAATGTACTACAATGTAATGCAATGTAATGCAATGTAATGCGATGCACTGCAATGCACTGCAATGTAATGCAACGCACTACAATGCACTACAATGTAATGCAATGTAATGCAATGTAATGCGATGTAATGCAACGTACTACAATGTACTACAATGTAATGCGATGCACTGCAATGCACTGCAATGTAATGCAACGTACTACAATGTACTACAATGTAATGCAATGTAATGCAATGTAATGCGATGCACTGCAATGCACTGCAATGTAATGCGATGCGATGCGATGCGATGTAATGCAACAGCCGGGGGGGTAGAGGGGTTCTCCACCTGACTGCTGCTGCTGCTCAGGCTGAGGCTGAGGCTGAGGCTCAGTTCTCGGTCTGGATGGAGATCTGCCGCTGAGTGAGGACCTGGGATAGCTCCCGCTGGAGCAACTGCAGCTTCTTAGTGTCGGCTATCGGGTCGGCAGACCTTGACGGACACCCGCCCACCCCCCCAGCGTCGCGGGAGGGTCACGGAGGGTCACGGGAAGGTCACGGGAAGGTCACGGAGGGTCAAGGAGGGTCATGGAGGGTCAAGGAGGGTCACGGAGGGTCAAGGAGGGTCACGGGAGGGTCAAGGAGGGTCGTGGAAGGGTCACGGAGGGTCAAGGAGAGCGTGGGAAGGTCAAGGAGGGCCAAGGAGGGTCGTGGAAGGGTCGTGGGAAGGTCAAGGAGGGTCGTGAGAAGGTCAAGGAGGGTCAAGGAGCATCGTGGGAGGGTCGTGGGAGGGTCAAGGAGGGTCAAGGAGGGTCACGGAGGGTCACGGGAGGGTCACAGGAGGGTCAAGGAGGATCACGGGAGGGTCACGGAGGGTCAAAGAGGGTTACAGAGGGTCAAGCAGGGTCGTGGAGGGTCACGGAGGGTCACGGAGGGTCGTGGGAGGGTCAAGGAGGATCAAGGAGGGTCACGGAGGGTCGTGGGAGGGTCACGGAGGGTCACGGGAGGGTCACGGGGGGTCAAGGAGGGTCAAGGAGGGTCAAGGAGGGTTGTGGGAAGGTCAAGGAGGGTCACGGAGGGTCACGGAGGGTCAAGGAGGGTCAAGGAGGGTCAAGGAGGGTCACGGAGGGTCAAGGAGGGTCACGGAGGGTCGTGGGAAGGTCAAGGAGGGTCATGGAAGGGTCATAGGAGGGTCAAGGAGGATCAAGGAGGGTCAAGGAGGGTCACGGAGGGTCACGGGAGGGTCAAGGATGGTCATGGGAGGTCGCGGAAGGGTTCAAGGGAGGTCATGGGAGGTCGCGCAAGGTCAAAGGTTAAAGGGAGGTCACAGGAGGTCACGGGAGAGTCGAGGAAGGTCGTGGGAGGTCGCAGGAGATTTCACGATGGTTCACGGAAGGTCACGGAAGGTCACGGAAGGTCACCAGAAGCCACCGAAGGAAGAGATGCAAGCAGAGGGTGAGGGGGAGATGAGGAGAGGCAGGGGGGGGTGAAGAGACAGAGAGACAGAGAGAGAGACAGAGACAGAGAGAGAGACAGAGAGAGAGAGACAGAGAGAGACAGAGACACAGAGACAGAGAGACACAGAGACACAGACAGAGAGACAGACAGAGAGACAGAGAGAGACAGAGAGAGACAGAGACACAGAGAGACACAGAGACAGAGACAGAGAGACACAGAGAGAGAGAGAGAGACAGGGAGAGACAGAGAGACACAGAGAGACAGAGAGAGACAGACAGAGAGAGACAGACAGAGAGAGAGACAGAGAGACACAGAGAGACAGAGAGGGAGACAGAGAAACAGAGAGACACAGAGACAGAGAGACAGGGAGAGACAGAGAGACACAGAGACAGAGAGACACAGAGAGACAGAGAGAGACAGAGAGGGAGACAGGGAGAGACAGAGAGACAGAGAGACACAGAGAGACACAGAGAGACAGAGAGGGAGACAGAGAAACAGAGAAAGAGAGAGAGAGACAGAGAGACACAGAGAGAGACAGGGAGAGAGAGACAGACACAGAGACAGAGAGACAGAGACAGACAGGGAGACAGAAAGACACAGAGAGAGACAGGGAGAGAGACAGAGAGAGACAGAGAGAGAAAGACAGAGCCAGAGAGACACAGAGAGAGAGACAGAGAGACACAGGGAGAGACAGAGAGACACAGAGACAGAGAGACACAGAGACACAGAGACAGAGAGACACAGAGAGAGAGACAGAGAGACACAGAGAGACACAGAGAGACAGAGAGAGAGACAGAGAGAGACAGAGATACAGAAAAACAGAGACAGAGAGAGAGACAGGGAGACAGAGAGACACAGAGAGACAGGGAGAGACAGAGAGAGACAGGGAGGCAGACATCAAGGGGACAAAACAAAATCAGCGGAAATTATAACAACATCAAGTAAATAAATTAAGTAACAGAGAGAAAGAGAGGCAGATGAGGGAAAGATGATAATCACAGCAACTTATTGGGATAAACCAGAGCGATGAATCATGAACCACACGGCCAGAGAAATCACATGGGGAGATGGTGGGTAGGTGGGTGAGTGGGTGAGTGGGTGGGTGAGTGGGTGGGTGAGTGGGTGGGTGGGTGAGTGGGTGGGTGAGTGGGTGGGTGAGTGGGTGAGGGGGTGGGTGGGTGAGTGGGTGGGTGGGTGAGGGAGTGGGTGAGTGGGTGGGTGAGTGAGTGGGTGAGTGGGTGGGTGAGTGAGTGGGTGGGTGGGTGAGTGAGTGGGTGGGTGAGTGGGTGAGGGGGTGGGTGGGTGAGTGGGTGGGTGAGTGAGTGAGTGGGTGGGTGGATGAGTGGGTGGGTGAGGAGGTGGGTGAGTGAGTGGGTGGGTGAGTGGGTGGGTGAGTGGGTGGGTGGGTGAGTGGGTGGGTGGGTGGGTGAGTGGGTGGGTGGGTGGGTGAGTGGGTGGGTGAGTGGGTGGGTGAGTGGGTGGGTGGGTGGGTGAGTGGGTGGGTGAGTGGGTGAGGGGGTGGGTGGGTGAGTGGGTGGGTGGGTGAGTGGGTGGGTGAGTGGGTGGGTGTGTGGGGAGCGGTAGTGTAGTGGTTAGCGCTACGCTGCGCTATGAACCTGGTGACCCGGGTTCGATTCCCGCTCACGGCCAACACCACCAGTGACGATTATCTGAACCGGTCCTGGGCCTGCTCTAGGTCGACTCAGCCTCAAATCGCCACTGGGGAGACAAAGGCGGTCGGGCGTGGTGCTGGCCACCCACCCCCTCGTGTACCGTTCCGGCCTTCATAGGTGCTCGCTAACAGCACTTGCCCCTACAGTCTGTTAAGGCGTGGGTGAGTGGTGAGTGGGTGAGGTGAGTGGTGAGGAGTGGTGTGATGGGTGGTTCACCTCAGACCATTGACGATATCCTTGGTTTTCCCAAAGTAGATGTCATTCAGAGTGTTCCGGATCTTATTCTCCATGTCCTGTGGGAGAGAGTGGGTGGGTGAGTGGTGGGTGGGTGGGTGGGTGAGTGGTGAGTGGGTGGGTGAGTGAGTGGTGAGTGGGTGGGTGAGTGGTGAGTGAGTGGGTGAGTGAGTGGGTGAGTGGTGAGTGAGTGGGTGAGTGAGTGGGTGGGTGAGTGAGTGGGTGAGTGGTGAGTGGGTGGGTGAGTGAGTGGTGAGTGGGTGGGTGAGTGAGTGGTGAGTGGGTGGGTGAGTGGTGAGTAAGTGGTGAGTAAGTGGTGAGTGAGTGGTGAGTAAGTGGTGAGTGAGTGGTGAGTGAGTGGTGAGTAAGTGGTGAGTGAGTGGTGAGTGAGTGGTGAGTGAGTGGTGAGTGAGTGGTGAGTGAGTGGTGAGTGAGTGGTGAGTGAGTGGTGAGTGAGTGGTGAGTAATTGGTGAGTGAGTGGTGAGTGAGTGGTGAGTAATTGGTGAGTGAGTGGTGAGTAAGTGGTGAGTAATTGGTGAGTGAGTGGTGAGTGAGTGGTGAGTGAGTGGTGAGTGAGTGGTGAGTGAGTGAGTGGTGAGTGAGTGGTGAGTGAGTGGTGAGTGAGTGGTGAGTGAGTGGTGAGTGAGTGGTGAGTGAGTGGTGAGTGAGTAAGAGGTGAGTGAGTGGTGAGTAAGTGGTGAGTAAGAGGTGAGTGGTGAGTAAGTGGTGAGTGAGTGGTGAGTAAGTGGTGAGTGAGTGAGTGGTGAGTGAGTGGTGAGTGAGTGAGTGAGTGAGTGAGTGGTGAGTGAGTGAGTAAGTGGTGAGTGAGTGGTGAGTGAGTGGTGAGTAAGAGGTGAGTGAGTGGTGAGTGAGTGGTGAGTGAGTGGTGAGTGAGTGGTGAGTGAGTGGTGAGTGAGTGAGTGGTGAGTGAGTGGTGAGTGAGTGGTGAGTGGTGAGTGAGTGGTGAGTGAGTGGTGAGTGAGTGGTGAGTGAGTGGTGAGTGTGTGGTGAGTAAGTGGTGAGTGAGTGGTGAGTGAGTGGTGAGTAAGTGGTGAGTGAGTGGTGAGTAAGTGGTGAGTGAGTGGTGAGTGAGTGGTGAGTGAGTGGTGAGTGAGTGGTGAGTGAGTGGTGAGTGAGTGGTGAGTAAGTGGTGAGTGAGTGGTGAGTAAGTGGTGAGTGAGTGGTGAGTGAGTGGTGAGTGAGTGGTGAGTGAGTGGTGAGTAAGTGGTGAGTGAGTGGTGAGTAAGTGGTGAGTAAGTGGTGAGTAAGTGGTGAGTGAGTGGTGAGTGAGTGGTGAGTAAGTGGTGAGTAAGTGGTGAGTGAGTGGTGAGTAAGTGGTGAGTGAGTGGTGAGTAAGTGGTGAGTGAGTGGTGAGTGAGTGGTGAGTGAGTGGTGAGTAAGTGGTGAGTGAGTGGTGAGTGAGTGGTGAGTGAGTGGTGAGTGAGTGGTGAGTGAGTGGTGAGTGAGTGGTGAGTAAGTGGTGAGTGAGTGGTGAGTGAGTGAGTGGTGAGTGAGTGAGTGGTGAGTAAGTGGTGAGTGAGTGGTGAGTGAGTGAGTGGGTGGGTGAGTGAGTGGTGAGTAAGAGGTGAGTTTGTAGGTGAGTGAGTGGTGAGTTAGAGGTGAGTGGTGAGTGTGTAGGTGAGTGGTGAGTGTGTAGGTGAGTGGTGAGTGTGTAGGTGAGTGAGTGATGAGTGAGTGAGTGGTGAGTTTGTAGGTAAGTGAGTGGTGAGTGAGTGGTGAGTGAGTGGTGAGTGAGTGAGTGAGTGGTGAGTAAGTGGTGAGTGAGTGGTGAGTGAGTGGTGAGTAAATGGTGAGTGAGTGGTGAGTAAATGGTGAGTAATTGGTGAGTAATTGGTGAGTGAGTGGTGAGTGAGTGGTGAGTGAGTGGTGAGTGAGTGGTGAGTGAGTGAGTGGTGAGTGAGTGGTGAGTGAGTGGTGAGTGAGTGGTGAGTGAGTGGTGAGTAAATGGTGAGTAATTGGTGAGTAATTGGTGAGTAATTGGTGAGTGAGTGGTGAGTGAGTGGTGAGTGAGTGGTGAGTAAATGGTGAGTAAATGGTGAGTAATTGGTGAGTAATTGGTGAGTAATTGGTGAGTGAGTGGTGAGTGAGTGGTGAGTGAGTGGTGAGTGAGTGGTGAGTAATTGGTGAGTGAGTGGTGAGTGAGTGGTGAGTGAGTGAGTGGTGAGTGAGTGGTGAGTGAGTGGTGAGTGAGTGGTGAGTAAATGGTGAGTGAGTGGTGAGTGAGTGGTGAGTGAGTGGTGAGTGAGTGGTGAGTGAGTGGTGAGTAAATGGTGAGTGAGTGAGTGGTGAGTAAGTGGTGAGTGGTGAGTGAGTGAGTGGTGAGTGGTGAGTAAATGGTGAGTAATTGGTGAGTAATTGGTGAGTGAGTGGTGAGTGAGTGGTGAGTGAGTGGTGAGTGAGTGGTGAGTGAGTGGTGAGTAATTGGTGAGTAATTGGTGAGTGAGTGGTGAGTGAGTGGTGAGTAATTGGTGAGTAATTGGTGAGTGAGTGGTGAGTGAGTGGTGAGTGAGTGGTGAGTAATTGGTGAGTGAGTGGTGAGTGAGTGGTGAGTAATTGGTGAGTGAGTGGTGAGTGAGTGGTGAGTGAGTGGTGAGTGAGTGGTGAGTAATTGGTGAGTGAGTGGTGAGTAAGTGGTGAGTAATTGGTGAGTGAGTGGTGAGTGAGTGGTGAGTGAGTGGTGAGTGAGTGGTGAGTGAGTGGTGAGTGAGTGGTGAGTGAGTGGTGAGTGAGTGGTGAGTGAGTGGTGAGTGAGTGGTGAGTTTGCCACTCACCTCCACCAGGCGGCCGATGTTGGCGATGTGAGGTGAAGCGTCACTCACAGCCTCATCCTTCTCCACCTGGTGGGGGGGGGGGGAGGGAGGGGAGGGTGAGGGGGGAGGGTGAGGGGGGTAGGGGAGGGGGTGAGGGGGGTGAGGGGGGAGGGGGAGGGGGGAGGTGGAGGGGTGAGGGGGAGGGGGGTGAGTGATGGTGAGTGATGGTGAGTGAGTGATGGTGAGTGATGGTGATTGATGGTGAGTGATGGTGAGTGAGTGATGGTGAGTGAGTAATGGTGAGTGAGTGATGGTGAGTGATGGTGAGTGAGTGATGGTGAGTGAGTGAGTGGTGAGTGAGTGAGTGATGGTGAGTGAGTGATGGTGAGTGATGGTGAGTGAGTGATGGTGAGTGATGGTGAGTGAGTGATGGTGAGTGAGTGAGTGGTGAGTGAGTGATGGTGAGTGATGGTGAGTGAGTGATGGTGAGTGAGTGAGTGGTGAGTGAGTGAGTGATGGTGAGTGAGTGATGGTGAGTGATGGTGAGTGAGTGATGGTGAGTGAGTGATGGTGAGTGATGGCGAGTGAGTGATGGTGAGTGATGGTGAGTGAGTGAGTGATGGTGAGTGAGTGATGGTGAGTGATGGTGAGTGAGTGATGGTGAGTGAGTGATGGTGAGTGAGTGATGGTGAGTGAGTGAGTGAGTGGTGAGTGAGTGAGTGATGGTGAGTGATGGTGAGTGAGTGATGGTGAGTGATGGTGAGTGAGTGATGGTGAGTGAGTGATGGTGAGTGAGTGAGTGGTGAGTGAGTGAGTGATGGTGAGTGATGGTGAGTGAGTGATGGTGAGTGATGGTGAGTGAGTGATGGTGAGTGAGTGATGGTGAGTGAGTGATGGTGAGTGAGTGAGTGAGTGATGGTGAGTGAGTGAGTGGTGAGTGATGGTGAGTGAGTGATGGTGAGTGAGTGAGTGGTGAGTGAGTGAGTGATGGTGAGTGAGTGATGGTGAGCGATGGTGAGTGAGTGATGGTGAGTGATGGTGAGTGAGTGATGGTGAGTGAGTGATGGTGAGTGATGGTGAGTGAGTGATGGTGAGTGAGTGATGGTGAGTGATGGTGATTGATGGTGAGTGATGATGAGTGATGGTGATTGATGGTGAGTGATGGTGAGTGAGTGATGGTGAGTGAGTAATGGTGAGTGATGGTGAGTGAGTGATGGTGAGTGATAGTGATGGTGAGTGATGGTGAGTGAGTAATGGTGAGTGATGGTGAGTGAGTGATGGTGAGTGATGGTGAGTGATAGTGATGGTGAGTGATGGTGAGTGAGTGATGGTGAGTGATGGTGAGTGAGTGATGGTGAGTGATGGTGAGTGAGTGATGGTGAGTGAGTGATGGTGAGTGATGGTGAGTTAGGTGATGGTGAGTGAGTGATGGTGAGTGATGGTGAGTGATGGTGAGTGAGTGATGGTGAGTGAGTGATGGTGAGTGAGTGAGTGGTGAGTGAGTGAGTGATGGTGAGTGAGTGATGGTGAGTGATGGTGAGTGAGTGATGGTGAGTGATGGTGAGTGAGTGATGGTGAGTGAGTGATGGTGAGTGAGTGAGTGGTGAGTGATGGTGAGTGAGTGATGGTGAGTGAGTGATGGTGAGTGAGTGAGTGGTGAGTGATGGTGAGTTAGTGATGGTGAGTGAGTGATGGTGAGTGAGTGAGTGGTGAGTGAGTGAGTGATGGTGAGTGAGTGAGTGGTGAGTGATGGTGAGTGAGTGATGGTGAGTGAGTGAGTGGTGAGTGAGTGAGTGATGGTGAGTGAGTGATGGTGAGTGATGGTGAGTGAGTGATGGTGAGTGATGGTGAGTGAGTGATGGTGAGTGAGTGATGGTGAGTGAGTGAGTGGTGAGTGATGGTGAGTGAGTGATGGTGAGTGAGTGATGGTGAGTGAGTGAGTGGTGAGTGAGTGAGTGATGGTGAGTGAGTGAGTGGTGAGTGATGGTGAGTGAGTGATGGTGAGTGAGTGATGGTGAGTGAGTGAGTGGTGAGTGAGTGAGTGATGGTGAGTGAGTGATGGTGAGTGATGGTGAGTGAGTGATGGTGAGTGATGGTGAGTGAGTGATGGTGAGTGAGTGATGGTGAGTGATGGTGAGTGAGTGATGGTGAGTGAGTGATGGTGAGTGATGGTGATTGATGGTGAGTGATGGTGAGTGATGGTGATTGATGGTGAGTGATGGTGAGTGAGTGATGGTGAGTGAGTGATGGTGAGTGATGGTGAGTGAGTGATGGTGAGTGATAGTGATGGTGAGTGATGGTGAGTGAGTAATGGTAAGTGATGGTGAGTGAGTGATGGTGAGTGATGGTGAGTGATAGTGATGGTGAGTGATGGTGAGTGAGTGATGGTGAGTGATGGTGAGTGAGTGATGGTGAGTGAGTGATGGTGAGTGATGGTGAGTGAGTGATGGTGAGTGAGTGATGGTGAGTGATGGTGAGTGATGGTGAGTGATGGTGAGTGAGTGATGGTGAGTGAGTGAGTGGTGAGTGAGTGAGTGATGGTGAGTGAGTGATGGTGAGTGATGGTGAGTGAGTGATGGTGAGTGATGGTGAGTGAGTGATGGTGAGTGAGTGATGGTGAGTGAGTGAGTGGTGAGTGATGGTGAGTGAGTGATGGTGAGTGAGTGATGGTGAGTGAGTGAGTGGTGAGTGATGGTGAGTGAGTGATGGTGAGTGAGTGATGGTGAGTGAGTGAGTGGTGAGTGAGTGATGGTGAGTGAGTGAGTGGTGAGTGATGGTGAGTGAGTGATGGTGAGTGAGTGATGGTGAGTGAGTGAGTGGTGAGTGAGTGAGTGATGGTGAGTGAGTGATGGTGAGTGATGGTGAGTGAGTGATGGTGAGTGATGGTGAGTGAGTGATGGTGAGTGAGTGATGGTGAGTGAGTGAGTGGTGAGTGATGGTGAGTGAGTGATGGTGAGTGAGTGATGGTGAGTGAGTGAGTGGTGAGTGAGTGAGTGATGGTGAGTGAGTGAGTGGTGAGTGATGGTGAGTGAGTGATGGTGAGTGAGTGAGTGGTGAGTGAGTGAGTGATGGTGAGTGAGTGATGGTGAGTGATGGTGAGTGAGTGATGGTGAGCGATGGTGAGTGAGTGATGGTGAGTGAGTGATGGTGAGTGATGGTGAGTGAGTGATGGTGAGTGAGTGATGGTGAGTGATGGTGATTGATGGTGAGTGATGGTGAGTGATGGTGATTGATGGTGAGTGATGGTGAGTGAGTGATGGTGAGTGAGTAATGGTGAGTGATGGTGAGTGAGTGATGGTGAGTGATAGTGATGGTGAGTGATGGTGAGTGAGTAATGGTGAGTGATGGTGAGTGAGTGATGGTGAGTGATGGTGAGTGATAGTGATGGTGAGTGATGGTGAGTGAGTGATGGTGAGTGATGGTGAGTGAGTGATGGTGAGTGATAGTGATGGTGAGTGATGGTGAGTGATTGATGGTGAGTGAGTGATGGTGAGTGATGGTGAGTGATGGTGAGTGAGTGATGGTGAGTGAGTGATGGTGAGTGAGTGATGGTGAGTGATGGTGAGTGATGGTGAGTGAGTGATGGTGAGTGATGGTGAGTGAGTGATGGTGAGTGAGTGATGGTGAGTGAGTGATGGTGAGTGAGTGATGGTGAGTGATGGTGAGTGAGTGATGGTGAGTGAGTGACGGTGAGTGATGGTGATGGTGAGTGATGGTGAGTGATGGTGAGTGATGGTGAGTGAGTGATGGTGAGTGAGTGATGGTGAGTGAGTGATGGTGAGTGATGGTGAGTGAGTGAGTGATGGTGAGTGAGTGATGGTGAGTGAGTGAGTGATGGTGAGTGAGTGATGGTGAGTGAGTGATGGTGAGTGATGGTGAGTGAGTGATGGTGAGTGAGTGATGGTGAGTGGTGGTGAGTGAGTGATGGTGAGTGATGGTGAGTGAGTGATGGTGAGTGATGGTGAGTGAGTGATGGTGAGTGATGGTGAGTGAGTGATGGTGAGTGATGGTGAGTGAGTGATGGTGAGTGATGGTGAGTGATGGTGAGTGAGTGATGGTGAGTGATGGTGAGTGAGTGATGGTGAGTGATGGTGAGTGAGTGATGGTGAGTGATGGTGAGTGAGTGATGGTGAGTGAGTGATGGTGAGTGATGGTGAGTGATGGTGAGTGAGTGATGGTGAATGAGTGGTGGTGAGTGATGGTGAGTGAGTGATGGTGAGTGAGTGATGGTGAGTGATGGTGAGTGAGTGATGGTGAGTGAGTGACGGTGAGTGATGGTGAGTGATGGTGAGTGAGTGATGGTGAGTGATGGTGAGTGTCTCACCTGTCTGGTGAGACTACCACCCAGGTTCATGGTACCAGACCCCTCCTTGTTGATGGTGAGTGATGGTGAGTGAGTGATGGTGAGTGATGGTGAGTGAGTGATGGTGAGTGATGGTGAGTGTCTCACCTGTCTGGTGAGGCTACCACCCAGGTTCATGGTACCAGACCCCTCCTTGTTGGTCTGCAACCACAGCATGGCGGTGGAGGTGAGCTTATAGTGGGCACTCCGTCCACTCGATTTCTCCTGCGTTAGAACCACACACAGGGGTGTTAGAACCACACACAGGGGTGTTAGAACCACCACACACAGGGGGTGTTAGAACCACACACAGAGGGTGTTAGAACCACCCACAGGGAGTGTTAGAACCACACACAGGGAGTGTTAGAACCACACACAGGGAGTGTTAGAACCACCCACAGGGGGTGTTAGAACCACCACACAGGGAGTGTTAGAACCACACACAGGGAGTGTTAGAACCACACACAGGGAGTGTTAGAACCACACACAGGGAGTGTTAGAACCACACACAGGGAGTGTTAGAACCACCACACAGGGAGTGTTAGAACCACACACAGGGAGTGTTAGAACCACCACACAGGGAGTGTTAGAACCACCACACAGGGAGTGTTAGAACCACCACACAGGGAGTGTTAGAACCACCACACAGGGAGTGTTAGAACCACACACAGGGGTGTTAGAACCACACACAGGGAGTGTTAGAACCACACACAGGGAGTGTTAGAACCACACACAGGGGGTGTTAGAACCACCACACAGGGAGTGTTAGAACCACCACACAGGGAGTGTTAGAACCACACACAGGGAGTGTTAGAACCACACACAGGGAGTGTTAGAACCACACACAGGGAGTGTTAGAACCACCACACAGGAGGTGTTAGAACCACCACACAGGGAGTGTTAGAACCACACACAGGGGGAGTTAGAACCACACACAGGGAGTGTTAGAACCACCACACAGGGAGTGTTAGAACCACCACACAGGGAGTGTTAGAACCACACACAGAGAGTGTTAGAACCACCACACGAAGTGTTAGAACCACTACACATAGGGTGTTAGAACCACACACAGGGAGTGTTAGAACCACCACACACAGGAGGTGTTAGAACCACCCACAGGGAGTGTTAGAACCACCACACAGGGAGTGTTAGAACCACCACACAGGGAGTGTTAGAACCACCATACAGGGAGTGTTAGAACCACACACAGGGAGTGTTAGAACCACACACAGGGAGTGTTAGAACCACACACAGGGAGTGTTAGAACCACCACACAGGAGGTGTTAGAACCACACACAGGGAGTGTTAGAACCACCACACAGGAGGTGTTAGAACCACCACACAGGGAGTGTTAGAACCACACACAGAGGGTGTTAGAACCACACACAGGGAGTGTTAGAACCACCACACAGGGGGTGTTAGAACCACCCACAGGGAGTGTTAGAACCACACAGGAGGTGTTAGAACCACCCACAGGGAGTGTTAGAACCACACACAGGGGGTGTTAGAACCACCACACAGGGAGTGTTAGAACCACACACAGAGGGTGTTAGAACCACACACAGGGAGTGTTAGAACCACCACACAGGGGGTGTTAGAACCACCCACAGGGAGTGTTAGAACCACACACAGGGAGTGTTAGAACCACCACACAGGAGGTGTTAGAACCACCACACAGGGGGTGTTAGAACCACACACAGGGGGTGTTAGAACCACCACACAGGAGGTGTTAGAACCACACACAGAGAGTGTTAGAACCACACACAGGGAGTGTTAGAACCACACACAGGGGGTGTTAGAACCACACACAGGGAGTGTTAGAACCACACACAGGGAGTGTTAGAACCACACACAGGGGGTGTTAGAACCACACACAGGGAGTGTTAGAACCACCACACAGGAGGTGTTAGAACCACCACACAGGGGGTGTTAGAACCACCACACAGGAGGTGTTAGAACCACACACAGGGGTGTTAGAACCACACACAGGGAGTGTTAGAACCACACACAGGGAGTGTTAGAACCACACACAGGGAGTGTTAGAACCACACACAGGGGGTGTTAGAACCACACACAGGGAGTGTTAGAACCACACACAGGGAGTGTTAGAACCACACACAGGGGGTGTTAGAACCACACACAGGGAGTGTTAGAACCACACACAGGGGGTGTTAGAACCACACAGGGGGCATGGTGGAACGTTCAAAGTAGTGGGCGTTAGTGCGGTGCTGGTGAAGCGTTAGTGCGTTAGTGGTGAGGTGTTAGTACGTGAGTACGTGAGGTGTTAGTACGTTAGTACGTGAGTACGTGAGGTGTTAGTACGTTAGTACGTGAGTACGTGAGGTGTTAGTACGTTAGTACGTGAGTACGTTAGTACGTGAGGTGTTAGTACGTGAGTACGTTAGTACGTGAGGTGTTAGTGTGTTAGTACGTGAGTACATGAGGTATTAGTACGTGAGTACGTGAGGTGTTAGTACGTGAGGTGTTAGTACGTGAGGTGTGAGTACGTGAGTACGTGAGGTGTTAGTATGTGAGTATGTTAGTACGTGAGTACGTGAGTACGTTAGTACGTGAGGTGTTAGTACGTGAGTACGTGAGGTGTTAGTACGTGAGTACGTTAGTACGTGAGTACGTGAGGTGTTAGTACGTGAGTACGTGGGGTGTTAGTACGTTAGTGCGTGAGGTGTTAGTACGTGAGTACGTTAGTACGTGAGTACGTTAGTACGTGAGGTGTTAGTACGTTAGTACGTGAGGTGTTAGTACGTGAGGTGTTAGTACGTGAGGTGTTAGTACGTGAGTACGTGAGTACGTTAGTACGTGAGGTGTTAGTATGTGAGGTGTTAGTGCGTGAGTACGTGAGTACGTGAGGTGTTAGTACGTTAGTATGTGAGGTGTTAGTACGTTAGTACGTGAGTACGTTACTACGTTAGTACGTTAGTACGTGAGGTGTTAGTACGTGAGTACGTGAGTACGTTACTACGTTAGTACGTTAGTACGTTATTACGTGAGTACGTGAGTACGTTAGTACGTGAGTACGTGAGTATGTGAGGTGTTAGTACGTGAGTACGTGAGGTGTTAGTACGTGAGTACGTGAGGTGTTAGTACGTGAGCACGTGAGTACGTGAGGTGTTACTACGTTAGTACGTTAGTACGTGAGGTGTTAGTACGTGAGTACGTGAGTACGTTACTACGTTAGTACGTTAGTACGTTATTACGTGAGTACGTGAGTACGTTAGTACGTGAGTACGTGAGTATGTGAGGTGTTAGTACGTGAGTACGTGAGGTGTTAGTACGTGAGTACGTTAGTACGTGAGTACGTGAGGTGTTAGTACGTGAGTACGTTAGTACGTGAGTACGTGAGGTGTTAGTACGTGAGGTGTTAGTACGTGAGGTGTTAGTACGTGAGTACGTGAGGTGTTAGTACGTGAGGTGTTAGTACGTGAGTACGTGAGTACGTTAGTACGTGAGGTGTTAGTACGTTACTACGTGAGTACGTGAGTACGTTAGTATGTGAGGTGTTAGTACATGAGTACGTTAGTATGTGAGGTGTTAGTACGTGAGTACGTTAGTACGTGAGGTGTTAGTACGTGAGGTGTTAGTACGTGAGTACGTGAGTAAGTTACTACGTTAGTACGTTAGTACGTGAGTACGTTAGTACGTTAGTACGTGAGGTGTTAGTACGTTAGTACGTTAGTACGTGAGGTGTTAGTACGTGAGTGAGTACGTGAGTGAGTACGTGAGTGAGTACGTGAGTACGTTAGTACGTGAGTGAGTACGTGAGTACGTTAGTACGTGAGTGAGTACGTGAGTACGTTAGTACGTGAGTGAGTACGTTAGTACGTGAGGTGTTAGTACGTGAGGTGTTAGTACGTTACTACGTTACTACGTTAGTACGTGAGGTGTTAGTACGTTACTACGTTACTACGTTAGTACGTTAGTACGTGAGGTGTTAGTACGTGAGTACGTTACTACGTTAGTACGTTAGTACGTTACTACGTGAGTACGTTACTACTTGAGTACGTGAGTACGTGAGGTGTTAGTACGTTAGTACGTTAGTACGTGAGGTGTTAGTACGTGAGGTGTTAGTATGTTAGTACGTGAGGTGTTAGTATGTTAGTACGTGAGGTGTTAGTACGTGAGGTGTTAGTATGTTAGTACGTTAGTACGTGAGTGAGTACGTTAGTACGTGAGTACGTGAGTGAGTACGTTAGTACGTGAGTACGTGAAGTGTTAGTACGTGAGTGAGTACGTTAGTACGTTAGTACGTGAGTGAGTACGTTACTACGTTACTACGTTAGTACGTGAGTACGTGAGGTGTTAGTACGTTAGTACGTGAGTGAGTACGTTACTACGTGAGTACGTTACTACGTTAGTACGTGAGTACGTGAGGTGTTAGTACGTTACTACGTTAGTACGTGAGGTGTGAGTACGTTACTACATTAGTACGTGAGTGAGTACGTGAGGTGTTAGTACGTTACTACGTTAGTACGTGAGGTGTGAGTATGTGAGTACGTGAGGTGTTAGTACGTTACTACGTTAGTACGTGAGGTGTTAGTACGTTACTACGTTAGTACGTGAGGTGTGAGTACGTTAGTACGTGAGTACGTGAGTACGTGAGGTGTTAGTACGTTACTACGTTAGTACGTGAGTGAGTACGTGAGTGAGTACCTGCACTTCCACGACATGAATGGAGTCCCAGCAGCCTTTGATCTTCTTGGATCCGTCCCCGGCCTTCTTGATGAGGATGACGCCGGCGAAGCCATGGTCCAGATCCCACAGGTACACTGACGACACGCCACCCTCAAAGTAGCTGGGCACACGGTGGGTGGGTGGGTGGGTGAGTGGGTGGGTGGGTGGGTGTGTGAGTGGTCCAGATCCCACAGGTACACTGACGACACGCCACCCTCAAAGTAGCTGGGCACACGGTGGGTGGGTGGGTGGGTGAGTGGGTGGGTGGGTGGGTGTGTGAGTGGTCCAGATCCCACAGGTACACTGACGACACGCCACCCTCAAAGTAGCTGGGCACACGGTGGGTGGGTGGGTGGGTGAGTGGGTGGGTGGGTGGGTGTGTGAGTGGTCCAGATCCCACAGGTACACTGACGACACGCCACCCTCAAAGTAGCTGGGCACACGGTGGGTGGGTGGGTGGGTGAGTGGGTGGGTGGGTGGGTGTGTGAGTGGTCCAGATCCCACAGGTACACTGACGACACGCCACCCTCAAAGTAGCTGGGCACACGGTGGGTGGGTGGTGGTGGGTGTGTGAGTGGGGGGGTGGGTGGGTGGGTGAGTGGTTGGGTGGGTGTGTGAGTGGTCCAGATCCCACAGGTACACTGACGACACGCCACCCTCAAAGTAGCTGGGCACACGGTGGGTGGGTGGGTGGTGGGTGGGTGAGTGGGTGGGTGGGTGAGTGAGTGGTCCAGATCCCACAGGTACACTGACGACACGCCACCCTCAAAGTAGCTGGGCACACGGTGGGTGGGTGGGTGGGTGAGTGGGTGGGTGGGTGAGTGGGTGGGTGGGTGGGTGGGTGGGTGAGTGGGTGGGTGGGTGGGGGGGTGGGGGGGTGAGTGAGTAAGTGGTTGGGTGGGTGTGTGAGTGGTCCAGATCCCACAGGTACACTGACGACACGCCACCCTCAAAGTAGCTGGGCACACGGTGGGTGGGTGGGTGGGTGAGTGGGTGGGTGGGTGAGTGGGTGGGTGGGTGGGTGGGTGGGTGAGTGGGTGGGTGGGTGGGGGGGTGGGGGGGTGAGTGAGTAAGTGGTTGGGTGGGTGTGTGAGTGGTCCAGATCCCACAGGTACACTGACGACACGCCACCTCAAAGTAGCTGGGCACACGGTGGGTGGGTGGGTGAGTGGGTGGGTGAGTGGGTGGGTGAGTGGGTGGGTGGGTGGATGGGTGGGGGGGTGGGTGGGTGGGTGAGTGGGTGGGTGGGGGGGTGGGTGGGTGGGTGGGTGAGTGGGTGGGTGAGTGAGTAAGTGGTTGGGTGGGTGTGTGAGTGGTCCAGATCCCACAGGTACACTGACGACACGCCACCCTCAAAGTAGCTGGGCACACGGTGGGTGGGTGGTGGTGGTGGGGGGGTGGGTGAGTGGGTGGGTGGGGGGGTGAGTGGGGGGGTGAGTGGGTGGGTGAGTGAGTGGGTGGGTGGGTGAGTGAGTGAGTGGGTGAGTGAGTGAGTGGGTGAGTGAGTGAGTGAGTGGGTGGGTGGGTGAGTGGGTGAGTGGGGGGGTGAGTGGGTGGGTGGGTGAGTGGGTGAGTGAGTGGGTGGGTGGGGGGGTGGGGGGGTGAGTGGGTGAGTGAGTGGGGGGGTGGGGGGGTGGGTGGGGGGGTGAGTGGGGGGGTGAGTGGGTGGGTGAGTGAGTAAGTGGTTGGGTGGGTGTGTGGGTGGTCCAGATCCCACAGGTACACTGACGACACGCCACCCTCAAAGTAGCTGGGCACACGGTGGGTGGGTGGGTGGTGGTGGTGGGGGGGTGGGTGAGTGGGGGGGTGGGTGGGTGGGTGGGTGGGTGGGTGAGTGAGTGAGTGGGTGAGTGAGTGAGTGGGTGAGTGAGTGAGTGGGTGAGTGAGTGAGTGGGTGGGTGGGTGAGTGGGTGAGTGGGGGGGTGAGTGGGTGGGTGGGTGAGTGGGTGAGTGAGTGGGTAAGTGGTTGGGTGGGTGTGTGAGTGGTCCAGATCCCACAGGTACACTGACGACACGCCACCCTCAAAGTAGCTGGGCACACGGTGGGTGGGTGGGTGGGTGTGTGAGTGGGTGAGTGGGTGGGTGAGTGGGTGGGTGGGTGGGGGGGTGAGTGGGTGGGTGAGTGAGTAAGTGGTTGGGTGGGTGTGTGAGTGGTCCAGATCCCACAGGTACACTGACGACACGCCACCCTCAAAGTAGCTGGGCACACGGTGGGTGGGTGGTGGTGGTGGTGGGTGAGTGGGTGGGTGAGTGGGTGGGTGAGTGAGTAAGTGGTTGGGTGGGTGTGTGAGTGGTCCAGATCCCACAGGTACACTGACGACACGCCACCCTCAAAGTAGCTGGGCACACGGTGGGTGGGTGTGTGAGTGGGTGGGTGAGTGGGTGGGTGAGTGGGGGGGTGGGTGGGTGGGTGGGTGGGTGGGTGGGTGAGTGGGTGGGTGAGTGGGTGGGTGAGTGAGTAAGTGGTTGGGTGGGTGTGTGGGTGGTCCAGATCCCACAGGTACACTGACGACACGCCACCCTCAAAGTAGCTGGGCACACGGTGGGTGGGTGGGTGGGTGAGTGAGTGGGTGAGTGGGTGGGTGGGTGGGTGTGTGGGTGGGTGGGTGGGTGTGTGGGTGGGTGTGTGAGTGGTCCAGATCCCACAGGTACACTGACGACACGCCACCCTCAAAGTAGCTGGGCACACGGTGGGTGGGTGGGTGGGTGAGTGAGTGGGGGGTGAGTGGGTGGGTGGGTGAGTGAGTGGGTGAGTGAGTGGGTGGTGAGTGGGTGAGTGGGTGGGTGGGTGAGTGGGTGAGTGAGTGGGTGGGTGGGTGTGTGAGTGGTCCAGATCCCACAGGTACACTGACGACACGCCACCCTCAAAGTAGCTGGGCACACGGTGGGTGGGTGGTGGTGGTGGGTGGGTGGGTGGGGGGGGTGTGTGGGTGGGTGGGGGGGTGGGTGGGTGAGTGGGTGGGTGGGTGGGTGAGTGGGTGAGTGGGTGGGTGAGTGGGTGGGTGAGTGGGTGGGTGGGTGGGTGAGTGGGTAAGTGGTTGGGTGGGTGTGTGAGTGGTCCAGATCCCACAGGTACACTGACGACACGCCACCCTCAAAGTAGCTGGGCACACGGTGGGTGGGTGGGTGGGTGGTGAGTGGGTGAGTGGGTGGGTGGGTGGTGAGTGGGTGGGTGAGTGGGTGAGTGGGTGGGTGGGTGAGTGGGTGGGTGGGTGGGTGGGTGGGTGAGTGAGTGGGTGAGTGGGTGGGTGGGTGGGGTGAGTGGGGGGGTGAGTGGGGGGGTGAGTGGGTGGGTAGGTGGGTGAGTGGGTGGGTCGGTGGGTGAGTGGGTGAGCGAGTGGGCGAGTGGGTGAGTGAGTGGGTGAGTGAGTGGGTGGGTGGGTGAGTGGATGAGTGGGTGGGTGAGTGGGTGAGTGAGTGGGTGGGTGAGTGAGTCAGTGGGTGGGTGGGTGAGTGAGTGGGTCGGTGGGTGAGTGGGTGGGTAGGTGAGTGAGTGAGTGGGTGGGTGGGTGAGTGAGTGAGTGAGTGGGTGGGTGAGTGAGGGAGTGAGTGAGTGGGTGGGTGAGTGGGTGGGTAGGTGAGTGAGTGAGTGGGTGGGTGGGTGAGTGAGTGAGTGAGTGGGTGGGTGAGTGAGTGAGTGAGTGGGTGAGTGAGTGAGGGAGTGAGTGAGTGGGTGGGTGGGGGGGTGAGTGGGGGGGTGGGTGGGTGGGTGGGTGAGTGGGTGAGTGGGGGGGTGAGTGGGTGAGTGAGTCAGTTGGTGGGTGGGTGAGTGGGTGGGTGAGTGGGTGGGTGAGTGAGTGGGTGAGTGGGTGAGTGGGTGGGTGGGTAAGTGGGTGGGTGGGTAAGTGGGTGGGTGAGTGGGTGAGTAGGTGGGTGGGTGAGTAGGTGGGTGGGTAGGGGAGTGAGTGGGTGAGTGGGTGGGTGGGTAAGTGGGTGGGTGGGTGAGTGAGTAGGTGTGAGTGTGTGTGGTGAGTAGGTGGTGAGTAGTAGTAGTAGGTGGTGAGTAGTAGTAGGTGGTGAGTAGGTGGTGAGTAGTAGGTGGTGAGTAGGTGGTGGTGAGTAGTAGGTGGTGAGTTGTAGTAGGTGGTGAGTAGGTGGTGAGTAGTAGTAGGTGGTGAGTAGGTGTGAGTGAGTGGGTGAGTGGGTGGGTGACTAAGTGGGTGAGTGGGTTGGTGCGTGAGTGAGTGTGTGAGTAGGTGGTGAGTAGGTGGTGAGTAGTAGGTGGTGAGTAGTAGGTGGTGAGTAGTAGGTGAGTAGGTGGTGAGTAGTAGCAGGTGGTGAGTAGGTGTGAGTGAGTGTGTGAGTAGGTGTGAGTGTGTGTGGTGAGTAGGTGTGAGTAGTAGGTGGTGAGTAGGTGGTGAGTAGGTGGTGAGTAGGTGGTGAGTAGGTGGTGGTGAGTAGTAGTAGGTGGTGAGTAGGTGTGAGTAGTAGGTGGTGAGTAGGTGGTGAGTAGGTGGTGAGTAGTAGGTGGTGAGTAGTAGTAGGTGGTGAGTAGGTGTGAGTGGGTGAGTAGGTGTGAGTGGGTTGGTGCGTGAGTGAGTGTGTGAGTAGGTGGTGAGTAGGTGGTGAGTAGGTGGTGAGTAGGTGGTGAGTAGTAGTAGGTGGTGAGTGAGTGTGTGAGTATGTGGTGAGTAGGTGGTGTGTAGGTGGTGAGTAGGTATGAGTGTGTGTGGTGAGTAGGTGGTGAGTAGGTGGTGAGTAGGTGGTGAGTAGGTGGTGAGTAGTAGGTGGTGTGTAGGTGGTGAGTAGGTGGTGAGTAGTAGGTGGTGAGTAGTAGGTGGTGAGTAGGTGGTGAGTAGTAGGTGGTGAGTAGTAGGTGGTGGTGAGTAGTAGGTGGTGAGTAGGTGGTGAGTAGGTGGTGAGTAGTAGGTGGTGAGTAGTAGGTGGTGAGTAGTAGGTGGTGAGTAGTAGGTGGTGAGTAGTAGGTGGTGAGTAGTAGTAGGTGGTGAGTAGGTGGTGGTGAGTAGGTGGTGAGTAGTAGCAGGTGGTGAGTAGGTGTGAGTGAGTGGGTGAGTAGGTGTGAGTGGGTTGGTGCGTGAGTGTGTGAGTAGGTGGTGAGTAGTAGGTGGTGAGTAGTAGGTGGTGAGTAGGTGGTGAGTAGTAGGTGGTGAGTAGGTGGTGAGTAGGTGGTGAGTAGTAGGTGGTGAGTAGTAGTAGGTGGTGAGTAGTAGTAGGTGGTGAGTAGGTGGTGAGTAGTAGTAGGTGGTGAGTAGTAGGTGGTGAGTAGTAGGTGGTGAGTAGGTGGTGAGTAGGTGGTGAGTAGGTGGTGAGTAGTAGGTGGTGAGCAGGTGGTGAGTAGGTGGTGAGTAGTAGTAGGTGGTGAGTAGGTGGTGAGTAGTAGGTGGTGAGTAGTAGGTGGTGAGTAGTAGGTGGTGAGTAGTAGGTGGTGAGTAGTAGGTGGTGAGTAGGTGGTGAGTAGGTGTGAGTGGGTGAGTGAGTGGGTGGGTGACTAAGTGGGTGAGTGGGTTGGTGCGTGAGTGAGTGTGTGAGTAGGTGGTGAGTAGGTGGTGAGTAGTAGGTGGTGAGTAGTAGCAGGTGGTGTGTGTGGTGAGGTGGTGAGTAGTAGGTGGTGAGTAGTAGTAGGTGGTGAGTAGGTGTGAGTGAGTGGGTGAGAGGGTGGGTGCGTGAGTGAGTATGTGAGTAGGTGGTGAGTAGTAGGTGGTGAGTAGGTGGTGAGTAGGTGTGAGTGAGTGGGTGAGTGGGTTGGTGCGTGAGTGTGTGAATAGGTGTGAGTGTGTGTGGTGAGTAGGTGGTGAGTAGGTGGTGAGTAGGTGGTGAGTAGTAGTAGGTGGTGGGTAGGTGTGAGTGGGTGAGTAGGTGTGAGTGGGTTGGTGCGTGAGTGAGTGTGCGAGTAGGTGGTGAGTAGGTGGTGAGTAGTAGGTGGTGAGTAGTAGGTGGTGAGTAGGTGGTGAGTAGTAGTAGGTGGTGAGTAGTAGTAGGTGGTGAGTAGTAGTAGGTGGTGAGTAGTAGGTGGTGAGTAGGTGGTGAGTAGTAGTAGGTGGTGAGTAGGTGTGAGTGAGTGGGTAGGTGGGTGGGTGGGTAGGTAGGTGGGTGGGTGGGTGGGTGACTAAGTGGGTGAGTGGGTTGGTGCGTGAGTGAGTGTGTGAGTAGGTGGTGAGTAGGTGGTGAGTAGTAGGTGGTGAGTAGGTGGTGAGTAGTAGTAGGTGGTGAGTAGGTGGTGAGTAGTAGTAGGTGGTGAGTAGGTGTGAGTGAGTGGGTGAGAGGGTGGGTGCGTGAGTGAGTGTGTGAGTAGGTGGTGAGAAGGTGGTGAGTAGGTGGTGAGTAGTAGGTGGTGAGTAGGTGGTGAGTAGTAGTAGGTGGTGAGTAGGTGTGAGTGAGTGGGTGAGAGGGTGGGTGCGTGAGTGAGTGTGTGAGTAGGTGTGAGTGTGTGTGGTGAGTAGTAGGTGGTGAGTAGGTGGTGAGTAGTAGGTGGTGAGTAGTAGGTGGTGAGTAGTAGGTGGTGAGTAGTAGGTGGTGAGTAGAAGTAGGTGGTGAGTAGTAGTAGGTGGTGAGTAGTAGGTGGTGAGTAGGTGTGAGTGAGTGTGTGAGTACGTGTGAGTGTGTGTGGTGAGTAGGTGGTGAGTAGTAGGTGGTGAGTAGTAGTAGGTGGTGAGTAGGTGGTGGTGAGTAGTAGTAGGTGGTGAGTAGTAGGTGGTGAGTAGTAGGTGGTGGTGAGTAGGTGGTGAGTAGTAGGTGGTGGTGAGTAGTAGGTGGTGGTGAGTAGTAGGTGGTGAGTAGGTGGTGAGTAGTAGGTGGTGAGTAGTAGGTGGTGAGTGAGTGTGTGAGTAGGTGTGAGTGTGTGTGGTGAGTAGTAGGTGGTGGTGAGTAGTAGGTGGTGAGTAGTAGTAGGTGGTGAGTAGTAGGTGGTGGTGAGTAGGTGGTGAGTAGTAGGTGGTGAGTAGTAGGTGGTGGTGAGTAGGTGGTGAGTAGTAGGTGGTGGTGAGTAGTAGGTGGTGGTGAGTAGTAGGTGGTGAGTAGGTGGTGAGTAGTAGGTGGTGAGTAGTAGGTGGTGAGTGAGTGTGTGAGTAGGTGTGAGTGTGTGTGGTGAGTAGTAGGTGGTGGTGAGTAGGAGGTGGTGAGTAGGTGGTGGTGAGTAGTAGGTGGTGAGTATCGTACAGGTCTCGGTACTGGTCGAACGCTGCGTTGGCCTCAATTTCGAGCTTGCGGAGACGTGCGGAGGGCATGGCTCCATCCTCCAGAGACGGGTCATACTTGTTACTCCACGGGGAGCTGGAGACACACACAGAGACACACAGAGACACACACAGAGACACAGAGACACACAGAGACACAGAGACACACAGAGACACACACACAGAGACGGGTCATACTTGTTACTCCACGGGGAGCTGGAGACACACAGAGAGACACACACAGAGACACACACAGAGACACACAGAGAGACACACACAGAGACACACAGAGACGGGTCATACTTGTTACTCCACGGGGAGCTGGAGACACACACAGACACACAGAGACACACACAGAGACACACACAGAGACACACACAGAGACATAAACACACAGAGAGACACACAGAGAGACACACAGAGACACACACAGAGACGGGTCATACTTGTTACTCCACGGGGAGCTGGAGACACACAGAGACACACACAGAGACACACAGACACAGACAGAGACACAGAGACACACACAGAGACGGGTCATACTTGTTACTCCACGGGGAGCTGGAGACACACACAGACACAGAGACACAGACACAGAGACACACACAGAGAGACACACAGAGACACACACAGAGACGGGTCATACTTGTTACTCCACGGGGAGCTGGAGACACAGAGACACACACAGACACACACAGAGACACACACAGACACACAGAGACACACAGAGACACACACAGAGACGGGTCATACTTGTTACTCCACGGGGAGCTGAAGACACACACAGAGACACACAGAGAGACACACACAGAGACACACAGAGACACACAGAGACACACACAGACACACACAGACACACACATAAACACAGAGACACACACAGAGACGGGTCATACTTGTTACTCCACGGGGAGCTGAAGACACACAGAGAGACACACAGAGACACACAGAGACACAGAGACACACACAGAGACACACACAGAGACACACAGAGACACACACACAGAGACACACACAGAGAGACGGGTCATACTTGTTACTCCACGGGGAGCTGGAGACACACACAGAGACACACAGAGACACACAAAGACACACAGAGACACACACAGAGACGGGTCATACTTGTTACTCCACAGGGAGCTGAAGACACACACAGAGACACACAGAGACACACAGACACACACAGAGACACAGACACACACACAGACACACACACACAGAGACGGGTCATACTTGTTACTCCACGGGGAGCTGGAGACACACAGAGACACACAGAGACACACAGAGACACAGAGACACACAGAGACACACACAGAGACGGGTCATACTTGTTACTCCACGGGGAGCTGGAGACACACACAGAGACACACACAGAGACACACACACAGAGATACACACAGAGATACACACAGAGACGCACAGAGACACACAGAGAGACACACACAGAGACACACAGAGACGGGTCATACTTGTTACTCCACGGGGAGCTGGAGACACACACAGAGACACACACAGAGACACACACACAGAGATACACACAGAGATACACACAGAGACGCACAGAGACACACAGAGAGACACACACAGAGACACACAGAGACGGGTCATACTTGTTACTCCACGGGGAGCTGGAGACACACAGAGACACACACACAGAGACACACAGAGACACACAGAGAGACGGGTCATACTTGTTACTCCACGGGGAGCTGAAGACACACACAGACACACACAGAGACACACAGAGACACACACAGAGACACACACAGAGACACACACAGAGACACACAGAGACACACAGAGATACACACAGAGACACACACAGAGACGGGTCATACTTGTTACTCCACGGGGAGCTGAAGACACACACAGACACACACAGACACACACAGAGACACACAGACACACAGAGACACACACAGAGACATAAACACACAGAGACACACAGAGACACACACAGAGACGGGTCATACTTGTTACTCCACGGGGAGCTGAAGACACACACAGAGACACACAGAGACACAGAGACACACACAGAGACACACAGAGACACACAGAGACACACAGAGACACACACAGAGACACAGAGACACACAGAGATACACACAGAGACGGGTCATACTTGTTACTCCACGGGGAGCTGGAGACACACACAGACACACACAGACACACACAGAGACACACAGAGACACACACAGAGATCCTCACACGGAGATACACACAGAGACACACAGACACACACAGAGACACACAGAGACACACACAGAGACGGGTCATACTTGTTACTCCACGGGGAGCTGAAGACACACACAGACACACACAGAGACACAGAGACACACACAGAGACGGGTCATACTTGTTACTCCACGGGGAGCTGGAGACACACAGACACACACAGAGACACAGAGACACACACAGAGACGGGTCATACTTGTTACTCCACGGGGAGCTGAAGACACACACAGACACACACAGAGACACACACACAGAGACACACAGAGACACACACAGAGATACACACAGAGATACACACACAGAGACACACAGAGACACACACAGAGACACACAGAGACACACACACAGACATAAACACACAGAAATACACACAGAGACACACAGAGAGACACGCAGAGACACATAGAGACACACAGAGACACACACACAGACATAAACACACAGAGATACACAGAGACACACACACAGAGACACACACACAGACATACACACAGACATAAACGCACAGAGATACACACAGAGACACACAGAGACACACACACAGACATAAACACACAGAAATACACACAGAGATAAACACACAGAGACACACAGAGACACACACAGAGACACACAGACACACACAGAGACACACACAGAGACACACAGAGACACACACAGAGACACACAGAGACACACACACAGACATAAACACACAGAAATACACACAGAGACACACAGAGAGACACGCAGAGACACAGAGACACACACACAGACATAAACACACAGAGATACACACAGAGATACACAGAGACACACACACAGAGACACACACACAGACATACACACAGACATAAACACACAGAGATACACACAGAGACACACAGAGACACACACACAGACATAAACACACAGAAATACACACAGAGATAAACACACAGAGACACACAGAGACACAAACAGAGACACACAGACACACACAGAGACACACACACAGACATAAACACAGAGATACACACAGAGATAAACACACAGAGACACACAGAGACACACACAGACACACACAGAGACGGGTCATACTTGTTACTCCACGGGGAGCTGGAGACACACACAGAGACACACAGAGACACACAGAGACACACAGAGACACACACAGAGACACACACACAGACACACACACTGACACACAGAGACACACAGAGACACACACACACACTGACACACACACACTGACACACACACTGACACAGAGACACACACACACACACTGACACAGACACACACACAGACACACACACAGACACACACACTGACACACAGAGACACACAGAGACACACACACACACTGACACACACACACTGACACACACACTGACACACACACACTGACACACACTCACACACACACAGACACACACACAGAGAGACACACACACTGACACACACACACAGAGACACACACACTGACACACACACAGAGACACACAGAGACACTGACACACACACACACTGACACACACACAAACACACACAGACAAACACACACAGAGACACACACACACACAGAGACACACAGAGACACACACACACACAGACACACACACACAGAGAGACACACACACACACAGACACACACAGAGACACACACACAGACACACACACACACAGAGACACTGACACACACACACACCGACAGAGAGACACACACAGAGACACTGACACACACACTGACACACAGACACACACACACAGACAGAGACACACACACACACACTGACACACACACACACTGACACACTGACACACACTGACACACACACACACTGACACAGACACACACACACACTGACACACACAGACACACACACTGACACACACACAGACACACACACACATACACTGACACACACACACAGACACACACACACTGACACACACACACACACTGACACACAGACACACACTGACACACACAGACACACACACACACACCGTCACCACGTACCGGTACGAGTCTCCGTCACGGTTGTAGTCACACAGGAGGTAGTCTTTGCCCACCAGCTTGTCGCGAGCGATCTTCAGCGGCTGGTCCACTGACGAGAGGAGATCCTCACACAGACTCGGCACCTAGACGATGCCATCACCATCATCATCGTCATCATCATCAACATCATCATCATCGTCATCGTCGTCAACATCATCCTCATCGTCATCATCATCGTCATCATCATCAACATCATCCTCATCGTCATCATCATCAACATCATCAACATCATCATCAACATCATCAACATCATCATCGTCGTCGTCATCATCATCAACATCGTCATCATCAACATCATCATCGTCATCATCGTCATCATCATCACCATCATAGTCATCACCATCATCACCATCGTCATCATCGTCACCATCGTCACCATCATCACCATCATCGTCATCATCATCGTCACCATCAACATCATCGTCATCATCAACATCATCAACATCATCATCGTCATCATCGTCATCATCATCGTCACCATCATCATCGTCACCATCATCATCATCGTCATCATCATCATCGTCACCATCGTCACCATCGTCACCATCATCATCATCACCACCACCACCACCACCTCACCAGGTCAATGAGGTCGCTGAGATTCTTCTCGATCTGCTGCGGAGGCAGACGTCTCATCAGGTCCAGCGCACAATCCAGCTGCTGCTCCGTCTGGCAACACAAACACACAAAGACAAAGATCCCCCGTATAGCCTTAACAGACTGTAGGGGCAAGTGCTGTTAGCGAGCACCTACGAAGGCCGGAACGGTACACGAGGGGGTGGGTGGCTAGCACCACGCCCGACCGCCTTTGTCTCCCTAGTGGCAATGTTTACACACCACACCAGGTATTTATTTGAGGCCGAGTCGACCTAGGGGAGGCCCGGGACCGGTTAAGATAATCGTCACTGGTGTTGGCCGTGAGCGGGAATCGAACCCGGGTCGCCAGGTTCATAGCGTAGCGCGCTAACCGCTACACTATCGCTCCCCACAAACACACACACACACAGACACACACACACAGCCACACACACAGCCACACACACAGACACACACACAGACACACACACAGACACACACACAGACACACACACAGATACACACAAACACACACACACAGACACACACACAGACACACACACACACAGACACACACACAAACACACAGCCACACACACACACAGACACACACACACAGACAGACACATACAGACACACAGACACACGAGGTTACCCCCTGCTCACCCCTGTACACACACACAGACTAACGGGGTCACCCCCTGGTAACCCCAGATAACCCCTGTACACACACACAGACACACACACAGACAGTTTAACACGTAGGCTTTCGCGACCAATATTATTCATAATAAAGGTTCTTGGGTTAGATCGCGTTTATTTATAAATGTGTCGTAACCCTCCACCACCCGACACGGCCAATCAACAAAAAAATGTCACGTTGACAAAGACAAATAATTCACTACTTCAGCCCACTGGTGTGTTGAAGAGTTAATCCACATTTACAGTTTGAGTACGACGTTTCGCTGGTAAATACTTCCAGCATCATCGGGCAATTCGCCAGAATGGTAAAGCCCTCGCTTGCTCCCGGTTTTATATAGGGCAGCAGGGTGACGTCATCACTTAACTCATCAGGTGCAGTGATTAGAGGCGGAGGGGGGGGGGTGTAATGTAATTATATAATCGATTAGTAATCAGTCATTGGTTATGATTAGTAATGAGTTGTAGATTAGTAATTCTTTAAATCAAAATGTAATATGTAAATGTGGATTAACTCTTCAACACACCGGTGGGCTGAAGTAGTGAATTATTTGTCTTTGTCAACGTGACACTTTTTTTGCTGATTGGCCGTGTCGGGTGGTGGAGGGTTACGACACATTTATAAATAAACGCGATCTAACCCAAGAACCTTTATTATGAACACACACAGACACACACACAGACACACACACAGACTAACGGGGTCACCCCCTGGTAACCCCAGATAACCCCTGTACACACACACACACAGACACACACACAGACACACACACAGACTAACGGGGTCACCCCCTGATAACCCTAGCTAACCCCTGTACACACACACACATACAGACACACACACAGACTAACGGGGTCACCCCCTGATAACCCCAGATAACCCCTGTACACACACACAGAGACTAACAGGGTCACCCCCTGGTGATCCCAGCTAACCCCAGCACACACAGACACACACAGACACACACAGACACACGAGGTCACCCCCTGGTCACCCTCTGCTAACCCCTGTACACACACACACAGACTAACGGGGTCACCCCCTGATAACCCTAGCTAACCACTGTACACACACACAGATACACACATACACACAGACACACACACAGACACACACACAGACACACACACAGACACACACAGACTAACGGGGTCACCCCCTGATAACCCTAGCTAACCCCTGTACACACAGACACACACACAGACACACACACATACACACAGACACACACAGACTAACGGGGTCACCCCCTGATAACCCTAGCTAACCCCTGTACACACACACATAGACACACACAGACACACACACAGACACACATACAGACACACACAGACTAACGGGGTTACCCCCTGATAACCCTAGCTAACCCCTGTACACACACACACAGACACACACACAGACACACACACACACATACACACAGACACACACACAGACACACACACAGACTAACGGGGTCACCCCCTGGTGACCCCAGGTACATAGATACAGAGACCCACAGACATCCAGACCCATAGAGATACCCACGGTGACACCCGCAGATTAGCACGGTCGCCTACGTACGGTGGTGCGAAAGAAATTCAACATTCGTACGTACACATAGACCCACAGCCACCCGGACCCATAGAGACCCTATAGAGATCCACAGAGACCCATAGACCCACAGACACCCGGACCCATAGAGACCCTATAGAGACCCACAGAGACCCACAGAGACCCATAGACCCACAGAGACCCACAGGGACACACATAGAGACCCACAGGGACACACATAGAGACCCACAGAGACATAGACCCACAGACACCCGGACCCATAGAGACCCTATAGAGACCCACAGAGACCCACAGACACCCGGACCCATAGAGACCCTATAGAGACCCACAGAGACCCATAGACCCACACACACCCAGACCCAGAGTGACCCTATAGAGACCCACAGAGACCCATAGACCCACAGAGACCCACAGGGACACACATAGAGACCCACAGAGACACATAGACCCACAGACACCCGGACCCACAGAGACCCTATAGAGACCCACAGAGACCCACAGAGACCCGGACCCATAGAGACCCTATAGAGATCCACAGAGACACACAGACCCACAGAGACCCACAGGGACACACATAGAGACCCACAGAGACCCATAGACCCACAGAGACCCGGACCCATAGAGACCCTATAGAGATCCACAGAGACACACAGACCCACAGAGACCCACAGGGACACACATAGAGACCCACAGAGACACATAGACCCACAGACACCCGGACCCACAGAGACCCTATAGAGACCCACAGAGACACATAGACCCACACACACCCAGACCCAGAGTGACCCTATAGAGACCCACAGAGACCCATAGACCGACAGAGACCCACAGGGACACACATAGAGACACACAGAGACACATAGACCCACACACACCCAGACCCAGAGTGACCCTATAGAGAACCACAGAGACCCATAGACCCACAGAGACCCACAGGGACACACATAGAGACCCACAGAGACACATAGACCCACAGACACCCGGACCCACAGAGACCCTATAGAGACCCACAGAGACCCATAGACCGACAGAGACCCACAGGGACACACATAGAGACCCACAGAGACACATAGACCCACAGACACCCGGACCCATAGAGACCCTATAGAGACCCACAGAGACCCACAGACACCCGGACACATAGAGACCCTATAGAAACCCACAGAGACCCATAGACCCACAGAGACCCACAGGGACACACATAGAGACCCACAGAGACACATAGACCCACAGACACCCGGACCCATAGAGACCCTATAGAGACCCACAGAGACCCACAGACACCCGGACACATAGAGACCCTATAGAAACCCACAGAGACCCATAGACCCACAGAGACCCACAGGGACACACATAGAGACCCACAGAGACATAGACCCACAGACACCCGGACCCATAGAGACCCTACAGAGACCCACAGAGACCCACAGACACCCGGACACATAGAGACCCTATAGAAACCCACAGAGACACATAGACCCACAGAGACCCACAGGGACACACATAGAGACCCACAGAGACACATAGACCCACAGACACCCGGACCCACAGAGACCCTATAGAGACCCACAGAGACCCATAGACCCACACACACCCAGACCCAGAGTGACCCTATAGAGACCCACAGAGACCCATAGACCGACAGAGACCCACAGGGACACACATAGAGACCCACAGAGACACATAGACCCACACACACCCAGACCCAGAGTGACCCTATAGAGACCCACAGAGACCCATAGACCCACAGAGACCCACAGGGACACACATAGAGACACACAGAGACACATAGACCCACACACACCCAGACCCAGAGTGACCCTATAGAGACCCACAGAGACCCATAGACCCACAGAGACCCACAGGGACACACATAGAGACCCACAGAGACACATAGACCCACAGACACCCGGACCCACAGAGACCCTATAGAGACCCACAGAGACACATAGACCCACACACACCCAGACCCATAGAGACCCTATAGAGACCCACAGAGACACATAGACCCACACACACCCAGACCCATAGAGACCCACAGAGACCCACAGGGACACCCATAGAGACCCGAAATAAGTTCTACATACACAGAGATAGGCAGATTGTTAACCCCCTGAGAGAGAGACACACACAGACCCAGGGTCTCAGTGTCTCCGACACAGTCATCGTGAACCCCCTGAGAGAGAGAGAGACACCCAGACCCAGGGTTTCAGTGTCTCCGACACGGCCATTGTGAACCCCCTGAGAGAGAGACACACCCAGACCCAGGGTCTCAGTGTCTCTGACACGGCCATCGTGAACCCCCTGAGATAGAGAGACACCCAGACCCAGGATCTCATTGTCTCCGACACGGCCATTGTGAACCCCCTGAGAGAGAGAGACACCCAGACCCAGCGTCTCAGTGTCTCAGACACGGCCATCGTGAACCCCCTGAGAGAGAGAGAGACACCCAGACCCAGGGTCTCAGTGTCTCCTACACGGCCATCGTGAACCCCCTGAGAGAGAGAGAGACACCCAGACCCAGGGTCTCAGTGTCTCCTACACGGCCATCGTGAATCCCCTGAGAGAGAGAGACACCCAGACCCAGGGTCTCAGTGTCTCCGACACGGCCATCGTGAACCCCCTAAGGGAGACACCCAGACCCAGGGTCTCAGTGTCTCTGACACGGCCATCGTGAACCCCCTGAGAGAGAGAGACACCCAGACCCAGGGTCTCAGTGTCTCCGACACGGCCATCGTGAACCCCCTGAGAGAGAGAGACACCCAGACCCAGGGTCTCAGTGTCTCCGACACGGCCATCGTGAACCCCCTGAGAGAGAGAGACACCCAGACCCAGGCTC